GGTCAGGAGAGGTCTGCCACACCATGTGGTCACCTCCAAGGCAGGCGGGAATCGAACTCATGCAGAAGCGGCTTTATATTCTCAGTGCTGTGCTTTAACCCGCTGCGCCACCAGGGAGGGCCTAAAATTTAAAGTCTTTTATTTTTAAATTTTTAATTGTGATATAATTGACATAGCATTATATTATTTAAAAATTTAAAAATGAAAGACTTTTTAAATTCATCAAACCTTTAATATAGTTAAAGGAGCACACTTAACAGCTGACAAAATATATTTTAAAGTTGCATATTACAAAGAAACCTTAGCACATTAAGGAATATTGTTCCTCATGGCAGAAAAAAAACAATGCAGTTACTAGCAATTCTACACCTGACAAACCATCTAGAACATAAGTGTGTACAGAACAGGAAAAGAAAAAGTACTTGACAAAATACAATATTATTCTACAATAAAAACTCTCAACAGATTTGTTATAGAAGAAAAAGACCTCACATACTAAAGGAAAAATATGACAAGCATACAGCTGACATCATATGGTGAAAAGCTGTTAATTTTCCCTCTAATATCAGGACTAAGACCAGGATGCCTATTATCACCACTCCTACCACACAGTACTGAAACTCCTATCCAGAGCAATTAGGCAAAGAAAAGTAAAGGCAACTAAATTGGAAAGAAAGAAAGAAGTAAAATCATTTCTATTTGCACATTATATGACTCTCTAGATCGAAAATCCTAGAAACTACACCAAAAAATTGCAAGAAATAATAAATTCAATAACTATTGAATTTATTATAAGTTCAAGATACAAAAATCAGTAGCATTTCTATATACTAGCAGCAAATTATCATAAAAAGAAATTAAGAAAGAGTCCCACTATAATAGCAAAAAGAAGAATAAAATACACAGGGATAAATTTAATCAGAGGTGGAAAATATATATATTTTTCAATTTTCCAACTGAAAGACTTAGATGAAGAAACTGAAGACATAACATAAATGGAAAAATCTTCCATGTTCAAGTATCAGAAGAATTAATAGTGCTAAATACCCATACTACTTAAAATCATCTATAGATTTACTGCAGTTCCTACCAAAATTCCAATGGCATTTTTTACATAAATTGAAAAACAATCCTAAAGTCTGTGTGGAACCACACAATACCACAAATAGTGAAAGCAGTCCAGAGAAATAAGAAAACTAGAGACATCACTGATTTCAACCTGCATAACAAAGATATAGTAATCACAGCATGGTACTAGCATAAAAATAGAGAGTGGAATAGAATTGAGTGTACAGAAATAAACCCTCGCATAGATGGTCAGTCAATGTTTAATAAGGAAACTCAGAATACTCCTGGATAGACTTGTCAATAAATGGTGGTGGGAAAAATGAATAATCACATACAGAAAAATGAAATTGGAGCCCAATAGTATGCCTCTCACAAAAAATCAATTCCAAATGGCTTAAAAATGTAAACATCACACCAGAACCATTAAATTCATAGAACTTCTAAAGTATGTGTATACATGTTCCTCTGTCTAAAGCTCCTGTGGGAATTTATATTCAGATTACATTAAACTGTACCTGGTATCTACCAGATAGAGAATACTAAATAAATGACTATTGACCTGAATTATAGCATAAAGGCAAAATTTATTCAACAGCTGAAAAAGAACAAGAAACTCTCAGTAGGAACATACAAGTCCTACCTCTGCTGCTGAAGCAAAGGAGTCAGTTGATGCGATGCTCAAGGTGTCTCGTAGGCCAAAGTCATCCACATTCCCCTTCGTGGTGATATCTGTATCTTTATCTTAAAGTAAAAGAGGAAAAGCTTACAAATTGGTATTCTTTATCATTGCCATATCTCACATTCAATAGTTGGTTTCTATTTGTTAAATTTTAGTCTTTATTTAGATTATAGGAAGCTAATAGAACAATACAAACCAATGAGCGATAATCTGACAAGACTCTTAAAGCATATGTGCTGTTTGATTCAGTGTCAAGCAGAGGAGAAAGTGCTATAAAAAATATATTCGTTTATACCTTAAAAAAAGACTTAGAGGCCCTCCCTGGTGGCGCAGCGGGTTAAAGCACTGCACTGAGAAGCTAAAGCCACCTCCGCATGAGTTCGATTCCCGCCTGCCCCGAAGGTGACCACATGGCATGGCAGACCTCTTCTGACCCGCCCGCTGCTCCCCTCAGCAGTGGACTTCGTTGATCTGCCTGTTCTGCTCCCCACTCTATCTCTGGTGAAGCCTCTCACCGCCCCTGAGCCTCTGGCCTGTACCCCAGTTCTGTATGTACAAATAAAATAAATCTTTAAAAAAAAAAAAAAGACTTAGACACTTTTGTAATAAAAAAAAAGACTTAGACTTAATTCCATATTATTATAGTTTTTGAGTATGTAATAAATTGTCATATAATAACTGAAGCTGGATTATCTACCATACCAGGTAAAATCAGCACACACCAAAAATAATTTGAAACAGAGCAATCTAATTGCAAGTGGTCTTACTCAAATTGGAAAAACTGGCAGGCTTGTTCAAATAAAATGTTATTAGCATAAATTGTCTGGTGAGTCACTTGTGATAGGTAGATCAATTTAAAATAATTAAATAAGATCTCTCTGAGTTCTTAAGTTGTTAAAGGGCAATTTTAATACCAAGAGATCAAAAATGATCAGATTTGGGCTATTGATATTTACTTTGTTCACTTGAAGGTCAAATGTAACTGCTACAATGATCTTAAATCTGGTTCCCATTAACAATACACCAAATAGAGAATGCGGGTATTAGTATCTTCATATATTATTCAGGAATTAGGTTAATATTAAATGTCCAAATAAATATAGTAAGTGCTTACTGATGTGACTACATTATAGCAAACGAATTTATATGTTTCAAATTTTACCACAAGTATGAGAAAACAAAGAACAATGTGTGTGTGTGTGTGTGTGTGTGTGTGTACACATATATATTTCTTTGATTCTCTCTCAGTCTGCTCAATTTGTCAGTTATTTACCTTGTTTGGAAAGAAACCAGAAATCTCTTTGGGTTTCATTCTGTGAAATTTCTATTTCATCATTTTCCCCAAATAAAGATCATTATTTTTACTAGAAGTTTTCCAAGTCCTTTTTAAAACCCCTAACTACCAGAAAATACAAATGTTTTATGACTTTATACAGGAAATGTAGAACTTTTGAAAAATCCAAACCATTAATTTAAACTCAAAAGTTTTGCAACCAATTTATTTTCCAAGCTCTAAGCCAAGCAGAGAGAGAATAAGCTTTACTTGGTACAAGATTCATTCCTACTCAGTATCAAAAATCATCAAACACAACACATGTTTTCCCCTACCTTACATTTGGTGGGACTGTATTTGACATTTGACTACTTATTTTCCAAGATTAATAATGATTACTAATAGAACAAAATCTGAAGCAAAGTTACTCTATTTTCAAAAATTACATTGAAATTTTCAAAAATTTTTGTTTAGAAATTACATTTTTTAAATCAAACCACAGAACAAAATAGTCTATTTTTTTACATTTACAAAACAGCTATAAAACTGACACTTTCGGACACCAATTACACAGAACAATTCTCATTCTGTTTTTAGTGCGTAAGTGATTTTTAATGGTACACACACACACTTTGAGAAATTGACTATTTACAAAATTTTATTGGCATTTATAACCCTCAAACCTTTATCTGCTTAATTATTTTCCATTGTTGTTATTAACAGTGAAAATGAAATCACAGTACAATTTTTATTACACCAAAGTACTTTTAAAGAAGGATTAAATTACAAGGCAATTAAGTTAAATCTTGGTTCCATATGCCTTTTGCTATTTTCAGAGTGGAACACAGACATTTATCTTAAGTCACTTTACCTTTCAGACATTACCCATGAGCTGTTAAAAGTCTGTTTTACTTCACTCAACAGTAACCAGTCATTCAATGTCATCCAGATCAGTTACCATGGTTGTACTTTATTTAAAAAAAAAATCTAACAAAGAAAAATAGCTCAGAGGAACTGGAAAGATTTGTTCATTAAATCAAACTTTGAAAACCACAGGCCACAGAACTTCATTTCAGTAATTGTTATGATTCTTGAATGCCAGCTTCATAATTATGAAGAGAAATAATACATCTGTTTTTTAGATAAATTAATAAAGAATATAAAGAAAATATATTAGGTAATATCTCAAACCAAATGCTTGTATGAATCCAATTAAAATTTAAAATACCCTTTCAAAAGACTATCATCAACTTAAGTGTGGTACTGGAAGTCAGGAACACCACAGAAAATTGAAAACCAAATATTTCCAGAAACTTCTTACCACATTTTTCATAGCAAGAAAATAAAAACTAAAGCCACAAAGCAGTATCATTACATATCCACAAGAATAGTCAATTAAATTGGAAGAAAAAGACAATGTTTTTGTTAAGGGTGTACATCAACAGAAATCATAGACCACTGGTGGAAATGTCAATTAGCACAATCATTTTGGAAAGTTTGGCTACGAAAGTTCAAGACTTCATTCTTTCTGAGTAATTTTGTCCTTAGGCGTATTTCACAGGGAACACATGCATATATGTGCAAAAATATTTATAAAGGCATCACTTATAATAGCTCCAAAATGGTAAAGAAAAATCCATCTGTCATAGAATATACACACTGTGGTATAGTCATACAATGAATTCTATACAATAAAAGTAAATGAACTGCTTCTACCTGCTCCTAGATAGATAAACCTCACAATACATTGACTGAAGAATTATATATGTGTTATTGCATTCACATAAAATTCAAAAGCAGGAAAAACTAAACTATAATGATCAGCACTATACACTTAGAAGAAAGCCAGGAAGTAGTATTTAACACAAACATTAGGACAGTGATTGGTTTAGGGGAGTAGTTGGGAGGAATATTACTTGAGGGGGTTTTTGCAAGGGGACCTTCTAGGGACTTGGCAGTTGTTTTTTTTTTTTTTAATCTACATGAGAGTTGCACAAGAGCGTATAATAAATCACTGTTCATTTTAGTTTTGTGTACTTTCCTCAAAGGATTTAAACAGAAGGAATGAAAACAATGTGTCTCTATATTTTAGAGCTGAAAGCAGAAAAGACAGTGAAATGTTTTGAATTTCAATGTTGGTAGCAAAGATGCCAATTGTTGTTAGACATGAATTTCATTCCCCGATAGAAGAAGAAGTATTGTGACGCTAGGTTCAGAATGTCAAAAGATCTGATGGAGTCTGTCAAGTATAATAGCAAGTTGAAAATAAGCTGCACCCTACAGAACACCAATAGTAGTAATAGTAGTAGTAGTAGTAGTTATAGTAGTAAGAGAGTCTAATACCACTCATAAATTTATCACAACCTTTTTCTACTAGTTCATCGATAAATTTGCTCTTTTGAATCAGTGTTCAAAATGGGAATATTTCGGCATAATCAAGTATTTGTAGGAAGAAGAAATGGAAGATAAGAGATGCTTGCTATTTAATGATGGCAGTGAAAGTATGACAAAATATTAACATTTGTTTTGTACTTACTACTTGCTAAAAACCAAGCTTTACATGTTACTTCATAATTCTCACAACAACCCTTTTGAAGTAGGTACTGTCTTCTTTTTCATTTCATACACCAAGAAGCTATGATATAGAAAGGTTAAATATAAAGTTCATTTTCACAAAGTTAAGAAATGATGTGGCAGGATTTAAACCCAGGTCATCTGACATCACATTCCAAGCTATGAAATGATGAAGCTATGATATTCAGTATGGTAGCCACTAGCCACCTGTGTCTATGGAGTAAATGGAATGTGCCTAGTCAGACTGAGCTATTATGCTGCATGTGGAAGATACATAATGGATTTTGAAACCATCATACCAAAATCATATAGCATTTTAATATACACTGTGCTTAAGAATAGATATTATTAACTGAAAATTATCTGAGTTAAAAAAAAAAGAATAGATGTTATTAAAATGTACTTCTTTACTTTTTCATTTGGCTACTAGAAAATTCAGTTACATCTGTGGTACACATTTATTATTCTGCTGGGCAGTATTGTTAAGATCACTCCCTGGAAGTGCAAGGGATTCAAGTGTAGCACTATGAAGCTACCCGCTTGAACTGCAGCATGAGTTCAATCCCTGGCCAGGGAGGTGACCCACATGACACAGACCTCTCCTGTCTCACCTGCTGCTCCCCTCAGCAGTTTGTTTCAGTTCATCTGCTTGTTCAGCTCCCCACTCTGTCTTTGGTGAATCCTTTCACCTCCCTCATCTCTGGCCTACCCCAGCACTGGAATGCATAAATATATAAATCTTTTAAAAATAATAAAAAACAAGTTAAAACAATAATTCCTTTCTCATGTTATCTACAGTGCTAAGAGTTAAAAAAATTTTTAAGACTTATTTATTTATGCATACAGAGCTGGGGTACAGGCCAGAGGTACAGGGGCCATGAGAGGATTCACCAGAGAGAGTTGGGTGCAGAACAGGCCGACTGATGAAGTACACTGCTGAGGGGAGTAGCAAGTGGGTCAGGAGAGGTCTGCTGTGTCATGTGGATCACCTCCCAGGCGGGGATCGAACTCATGCTGAAGTGGCTTTAGCTTCTCAGTGCTGTGTTTTAACCTGCTGTGCCACCAGGGAGGGCCTCTTTAAAAATTCTTTAGGGGATTCTGATTCAGTTTACATTTTTTGAGAGACTACTATGTGCCCAAAGCATTGTGCTAAGTTTATCACAAACTATTTAATTTAATATATGTAACTGTCAGAGAGGAATAGTCTTTGGCTAA